GACCATACCCACCCTTGCGATGCGGGACGCAAGCGCATAAGTCCACGTTCGAGGCCATTGACAGGAGATTACCAAACGTTCTAACTCTTTCATTTTCACGGTAGAAACATGCAACGGCCTAGCCTCTTCTATGGTCAATTGACTGGTATCTCAAGGTGCATGGCCAGTTGTCCAAGTATCATACCATTCCCATAGCTTGATAGATTTGTCATCCGGGGCGCCTGGATCAGATGAGGTCGGAGAAATCACCAACTCAGACGACCGCGAAGATCCAGGCGCGCTGCCTATAACGGGCGATGCAACCGGGGCATTTTCAATAAAACAAATCAATTACTAGAAGTTTCAAAACAAACGCAAGAAGATAAACACTCACTTGTTTCTAGGACAGCGGTGCTGATGACCCGACAAGCGCCGTATTCGACGCCGATATGCCCTCCTTCCCAGGCGCCCTTTTTTCTTCCGCAACATCCTCCTTTCGGGGTCACGGTTGGTATATGGAGAGAAATGTTTCTCCAATTCTACAATAACGTCGGGCACCGACCCCGTGCCCTTCGCAGTGCCACAGTCGAAAGCGCCCGAACTAGTTTTTTGAGACACGGTCAATCTTATTCCTACGAGCAGGCGGACAGCAATACGCAGTAGAGAGAGAAATTTTTTGTTAGAAAGAGGGAAGGGAGGAAGCGGGTGATGATATTTATAGGGGGAAGTACAACGGGAAAATCTCGAGATGCACGCACGCCATGAGGCTTCATCCTTGCCATCCTTTTGAAATTTGAATTTTCAAAATTTCAAAACGCACGCCGAGCGGGCGGGGATTGGTGGTAACGAACCGCCACGCATTGGGAGAGTGGATGTAGGCGCCCTTTTGGGAGTGGATGTAGGTGCCCAAACTTTAACAAGCAATAAATGAGTTTAGTGGAAACGAACCGCCACACATTGGGGGAGTGGACGTAGGCGCCCTTGTGGGAGTGGATGTAGGCTCCCAGACTTTAACAACCAATGAATGAGTTTGAGGAATGAGTGACGCTTTGGGGGAGTGGATGTAGGCGCCCAGTCGTTAACAAACAATAAATGGGATTCAGATATAGGCGCATGGACTAGTCGGTACACGAATGGTAACCACAAGCCACAAAAGGGAAGCGCCCAAACTAAAGTTACCCAAAAGACAAATGTGTGGACAGTTCACACAAAAGGCAAGTTGTTTAAAGAAATCCCCTAAATCGGGAGTCGCATTTAGGAAAAATCAAAATGAGACAAAACAAAGGCAGCGCATGATAGGCGGCTCAATAAGAACGCCCTCCCCCTTCTTCATATAGTTAAGCGCTCATCACTAACCATGAGCACCTAACTGGTGGACAATTGTTGGGTCAATATAGACAAGCCTTTTGGAAGGCCATAAAACCTATTAGGCCTAAGCCCATTTGAAGTCCTGAATAGCATGGGCCGGGCAGAAGAGCAAGGCCCATATGGACGAAACCACACAGGCCCCTTGTGCGCCCCGCCCCTCCTTGCAGGAACTAGGCGCCTCAATTTGAAGTTCGGTGAGGTTCGGGTGGAGATTTTGGGGCGGAGTATCGCGTCTCAAACAACACCCAATCAATAGAGGTGAGAAAATCGCGAAGATAGAAGCTGGGTGAAGCGATTCTTCTCAGCTTCTAAGAAGCCGCCATGGTCGTGGGCGCATTCTGGGATTCGCAATGTGACTTCTTGTTTACAACAGCCTCCCGGCGTCCGACAACAGCTTCATCAAGCAGCCTCGTAATCTCAAGGAACTCCAAATCCTCAAGTCTGCAGCTTTTTATATATGGGTTCTCTGCCGAAAGTTGTTGTCTTTTCGTGAGATTAAGCTAATTGAGATATCAGGGTTGTTTTATGAAGAGAGATCAGGGATGTTTCGTTGCTGGCATGAGTCGATTGAGTTAATTATTGAGATTTTGGAGTTTTGACCCTTTGTGCTCCAGATCAGGGGTTGAAGGGAAGACATTTCTGAGTTTTTTGTTGTTGTTAAGACTGAATATAACCACTTTGATTCGTCATACTGAAATATGTATATATATGGATTTGGATAAGTTTAAATTAGAACTCAGTGAATTGGAATTCAAGTTGAAACCAATCCCCACCTTATAGCTTGATGAATTAGAATTGCAGTAGTTTTATCAAAGTGTTGCAAATGTGTTGTGCTTGTTTTGGTGTATTTTCTCTCAAATGTTTCTCATTCGTCTGCTGCTATCCTCTTTGCTTTTCTTTAAATCAAACATGGTTGCAGGCTTACAACAGCTTCAACTACATACTAGCTTGTACCCTGCCCTTTGGGAAGGTGATTTTGGTAAATTTGCCTTTTATTTTTCAATTTGATGCGATTGTTATCATTTTAATAGAAATTCTGAATCTTTCTTATTTATGCAAAATCACAGTTCAACTTATCAAAATGCAAAATGACGGCAAAACATTGATGATTTAAACAAATAATAAAATTATCTGTTATGTTTATTTAAAGTTAACAGAATTATACTTAATCAAATACAACTCATTTTAATCAAGAAAATCATTTTGTATCCGATAATTTAGGGGAAAAAACAATTATTTTTCTACCAACAAAAAAGGGGGGAAAATCTTTGTATCAGAAAAGGGAAAAAGCTCCAATCTTTTGCGTGTCTTCTTCTACCTCTTCCCCACCATCACCACCGACAACATCCCATCCACTGCCATCTCTTCCCACTGCAATCTTCCCGTTCCTTCTATCCTTCTCCGGAATGGCTAATCCCGATCCCACCACACAAAGCATCGATAGCCCAATCCCTCTTAATTGCTCTCTATCTTAGTTCTTATTGGATCGGGCCAATCTCTCGCCTCGTCTCCAAAGGTAGGGACTTGGTCGAACTTTGCGACGCTGAACTCGTCGGATCTTGAGGTTGGGCTAGTATTAAAAATCTTGCTTGAGTATGAGTTGAGTTACAAATTCGAGATCTAGGTTTCTGGGGGCGCCGCCGACACCAGAAGATGGTTGGAGGAAGTTTCGGAATAGGACATGTCATTCAATGTTAAGAAATTACGGATCAAGAGATTTTAGAAGTGAAAGGGTCGGGAATGATGAGAAGTGATGCATAAGGGAAATCCATGATCTTATTATCATCGCGAGGATGACTTTTAGAGGGAGAAGAAATTACGGATCTCGATTTTGATGGGCCAGGAACGATGAAGGCGCACCCTAAGTGGTTATTATAACGATTGTGGATTGCGGTTTTTGCCGTTACAGTGCAGAGCATTCAAAAAGCTTTAGCATGATCCAAAAAATATAAAGAAACACGACGATTGGAAGGGAACGGTTTAGACTTTAGAAAAGAAAAACTAATAAAAAGAAAGAAGCCCGAAAGTTGCGGGAAGCCAAGGAGGCAGACGTGGATGAGGGGGTTTTGAGAAACCCTTTTATATATTTTATAGATAGATAGATAGCTGAAGGAGAATGACAAGAAAGTGAGCAGTGTCATGGCCAACATCTGCTCTCTGTCACTTATTGAAGAAGACAAGCAACAATAGCAAGAAGCGAATGAGTTGTACCTAGAACTGGATTAGGTTGATTCTACTTTCAGAATTTCTTTGTATACATGTAGATTAGTTGTTAAATATTAGTGTCGAACAGTGCCATTCTTATTTATAGAGTTGAATCCAGGTTTTCTCCCTTCCAATTCAATTTGTTTCTGGTTTTATTCTAAACCCAGCATGAAGGGTACTGCAACACTCAAATCCTCTGTATTGATATTGTTTGAACAACTAGTGATGTCAAAGCTTGTTCTATGCATTTGTTGTGTTATATAAACCTCCTGATTATCACGCTAATGACTTAGTGAGTCTTGTTATACCAACGTTGGAGTGTAAACATCTTGGCCTCTAAGGATAGTAAGAGGGTAGTAATGTAATTTATGTTTTAAAACCATAAATCACTAAGCACAAAATTCATGATCAAATCCAACAAGCAAACAATATACTTGTTTAAATCCATAATACCACCAATTAAATATCCATAGTTTTCCAAAACACTCATTTTTCAAATCCACGAAGCAAACGACTCCCGAGTTCAATCCTATTCAATAAGATGATGGAGGATAACATAGTGTGAATAGTTAATCTAGAACATTATGGACTTCGAATGTACTGACACAACATAAGTAGCAGGATGTCCAAAGAGAAGGGTGGGTTAAGCTCATGGATAAATTGAAAAAGGCCCAATAAGGAGTTCCATGAAAATCGATAAACCAACTGTTTTGCGATTTGGGCTTTCGATACAACTCATAATTTCCCTAATCTTTTTGGCCCATGACCTCTTTATCATATTACATTTATTTTCAAGATTTTTAAAAAAATCAGGTAATGTCTTGTTATTATCCAAATCTTTTCAAAAAAAATTATTTTATTCAAACTTATAGAAATTCTATTTATTATCCAAACGTATTGTAACTGATAAAAGTCTAAGCATTCATTTTGTTACCGTTACTTATTTCGTAATGGAGCTCCACATAAGCATCCACATCAGCATATACGTCAGAAATTAATATTAAAATGTATTTTGTTATTATAAATTTAAGGGTAATGTCTATTTATTACCCAAACCTTTTCCAGATTCTTTTATTTATCCAAACCTATTGGAACACTATTTATTAACCAAACATATTGTAACTACTCAAAGTCTGGGCTTTCATTTGGTTACCGTTAATTATTTACTAACGGAGCTCCAACTCAGCATCCATGTCATCATCCACCTCAGAAATTCATCAAATTTTAATTTATTTTTAATTTGGCTCTATTCTTTTCCCCTTCCTCCATCGCCTCCTCTATCAAAGGATTTGTTAGATCCGAAAATCGAGGAACCAAAAGGATTTGTTAGATCTTTGTGGAGGAATGCAAAGAAGTAGGTGAAGGAGGCAGAGTGGTGGGAATCGAAGGCGGTGACGAGTCAGGTAGGTTGGGGGATAAGAAAGTGAGTCTGATTGGAGAATCGAGAGTCATCGGCAACGGGGTTTGCTGGCTGTTGCGGGCACAAGGACATAATGGGATGATTGTTGTTGGCCTTGAGTCGGAAGGAAGTTGAAGGGATGAGCGGAACTAGGGCGAAGCGGAGGTGACTTCTTACTCGTCGTCGATGCTGTCGTCGTCGCCGCCACATCGAACGTCATCCTCTTCTCTTCTACCAACGATGGCGCGGTCATAGGGTGATACGGAGTGGATGAAGGGGTTGATCGATGGAGGGGATGGTGGTCTTATGAGCTCGTTGGGTTCGTCGATCTGTCAGGGTGTACGAAGAAGAAGAGGAATGGAAGGTCGGGGAATATGCAGGAGAAGGGTTTTTTTCATTTTCTCATCTATTTAATGATTTAATTAGTTTTTTAAATTTAAATTAAAAATGATGGGACGGTGACTGCCATGTTGGCATCCAACTCAGATTCGTGATGTTCAGTCGGCAATATTAACATCATTGTTAACGGTGAGTTAACGTTTGGTTAATAAATAGTATTCCAATATGTTTGGATAAAATAAAAGAATCTGGTACATGTTTGGGCAATAAATAGACACTACCTTTTTAAAATGAAAAATAGATGCCCTCTGAGACCGCCACGTTGACTTCCATCTGAGACTGATGTTGTTGAGTCAACAAACGTAAGGAAACATTTAACGACAGAGTAATAGTAGGATAATAAATAGTATTTCGATAGGTTTGGATAAAATAAAAGAATCTTGAAAAGATTTGGATAATAAATAGGCATTACCAAAAAAAAATCTATCTATCTATCTATCTATATACTATCCTCCAATAATATATAGTAGAGTTTTGTCTACTTTTCTCCATTTCAAATTTCTTGCAACGAGAGTGAAAGTAGGAAGGGTATTTTTGTCTTGTCAATATCAGAATTTGAACTCGGGTCTCTTCAAACAAAGACTACAATCACAACCAATTACACTAAACAAATTTGTTGTGTCCTTTTTAATACAAAACATACACGAAGTGACACTCTAAAAATTGGTGGACTATTCCATCATGATTTGCAAGCCCACTAAGTCTACCATAGGTATTTTATGGTGCTTGATACTGCAATTTTCATAGCATAGTTTCATTTATTTTTGTGAAAGAGACTAATTCTATTACTACACGTTGGATCCTTACATTTTTCAATTTATATTTAAATTTAGTACTTTTTTATCTTTGTTCTTAACTCTTTCTAACTTCCTCTGAAATTCTCTCCATCGTGCAGTAGTTTGCTCCCCTTTCACTTTACAACTCCGTCTTTGAAAATCAATATTCCCGGTATTTCTTGGCACTACGATTTTATTGTTAGGGATTTAAACTCGGCAAGTAGAATATTTCAACTCTGATATCAATCCATGGCGAATAGAATGGAGTTCAATAAATGGAGTTGCAAAAGGAGGATTAGAAATTGAATTTTTGGTTGAAACATACACCTCTTGAGATTGAAGATAAAGTTGATAAAAATTTGATTGTACAACAGAGAGTGGTGGCTACTGTATCTTTAGGTTTATGGTTTTTGAAGATATCACAACTTATTTCTATCTTAAAAGGAGGAATCATTGATTGATTTACTGAAGTAGGTCGGTCGATTCTTTATTCAACCTACTGGGACTGATAGATGAGGAGTGTCTAATTTTGTTCCTTATACTTTGATAGAGTCTATTAATATATTGGAGGTAACCCTAATTTTGGCATTTGCTCTCAAGTTTTTATGGTCCCCTCTTAGCTGAATTGTTAGTATATAGTTGACTTGAATCAACAACTCTTCGTTTCTTTTTGATTAGTGGCATATTGTTCCTAAAATGAGAGCATTGAACCTTTATGTAGGAATGCCAAGTTTAAGATTTAGTTTCAAACTATCTATGGTTCGTGTGAGAATTTCAGTGAGTTTTTGTACTCTATCTTTCTTGACAATCAACTAACCAATAGCATTTTACCGGTTCATTATGAAAATGAGATCAATAATACATTTTTTATATTTTATATTCTTAAATGATGATGAAATTTCTCCAAATGTTTGACTTATATATTCTTTCTTTATGTATCATCTCGATCGAAAGATTGTCAGTAAAATTATATGGGTTGATAGATATAAATGTAACATAAAAATATAAATAATCAAATATGAATATTCCGGCCAATGTGCCGGGTTATAAGCTAGTATATAAAGCAGATTCATTGGTTGAATTTTCTCCATTTCAAATTTCGAGCAACCAGAGTAAAAGTATGAAGGTTATTTTCTTCATAATTAGATATATATTTTGTACAAAAATATATCAACACCAAGATTTGAACAAGATCTCTTTAAACAAAGACAAGAAACATAACCAATTACTCTAAACATATACATTGTATATGTTTAGAGTAATTACAAAACATACACAAATTTAAAATATGAAAAAACATATTACTTTTGCATAACGATAAGCTAGCTCACTAAGTCTCCTGTAAGTATCTTTATGGTGCTTGATATTTCAATTTTCATATTTGATTATTTTAGTTCTAGACTATCCTCCAATCTATAAAATATATGAAGGAGACTCATGGGTTAAATTTTCTCAATTTCAAATATCTAGCAACCAGAGTGATTTTTTGAAGGAATAAAAATGTCATTTACCCCACTTTAATTGGAATGGTTCGCTTAAACATTTATGTTGGGATTTAAATTTGTCGCACTGATTTTAGCGTTTCTGCTAGATGTTAAATTCGTTGGGTTCTATTTCACTTTCTAATTTATTTATTATTTTATTGTTATGATGTTGGAGGGACGCAAACTCTCCCAGCCTCTAAACCAGGATAAGAGGAAACAAATAAGCGAAAATCTCGCAGCCATAACTCTGACACCAACTCGGCCGCTCTTGGGACCTCTCCATGGAGCCTTCCACACATTTCCTGCCAGACAAAACTAATCAAGGAGTACCATAGAGGTCTAATAAGTCTCCCCAAAGTCGTGTTTCGCTTTGCAACCATACCTGCATATGAGAGTCGGAGATCCCAAAAGCTACTACTGGAAAAATTACCAACTCTGCTAACAATACTGCTCGAGAAAGAACATTTGAAAAACAAATTATCCTAGGTCTCACTATTGGCATGACATAATTAACCCCACAACATGAACTTTACCTTGGTTACTATCGCATCCACTGCCACAATCCATGCTATGATACTCCAACACGACACATAGAATTTACTCTAGAGAAGAGCAAACCAGTGTTGTTTGCTCTTCACATGTCATATCATATCCCAAACTGCGCTTACTGAGTAGATGGATATCAATTTCCCATTCCAAAAACCTCCATCACACTGCTTCCTCATAAACGACAGCACAGTTAGGCGAAACTTCAGAATTCCTCTCGACGCCAAATCATCTCTATTTTCACTTGTCAAACAACAAAAAGATGTTGGGTTTTCCATAAATCCAATTATCAAACCAAACTACACATGAATGAAAAAATAAGTTATCATTATTCTAATAAAATTCCCAATCTTGAAGATTCCAATATCATTTTCGCTTCCATAATATATATACGGTACTAATCGTGGGTTACAATTTACTTCAATCTAATTTTGGCCATTAGATTAATCTAACGGTTTTATTAGGCCGTATTAAAATAACAATTTAATGTGATTTGGATTGCGATACAAAACCCTGACATAAAAAAACTCTACAAAATCCCAACCATAGAATCATTTATCGAACGAACTTGTATTTTTAACAACAATAGAGTAATTTTAACAATTATTATATTAGTTTTAATTATACGGTTAGTACCTATTCCATTTTGTGTGATGTTAACAATTATCATAATTAACATAAATGTTTATTTATAAAATAATTTATCGATGATATCATGAACATGAATAATATGAACAAAAAACGTTAATAGGCAACTGTGATATTGGATCATACTGTTAACAATGAAATGATGTATTGTTAATAATCTACAAATTGAAATGTTGCCAACATAAGCAAAATCGTTAACCATATATATGTATGGTGACATCTTCTGTGCATCCACATTTTTAGTTGCATTGAACGTGTTATAAACGCGCTGCTACGGATCGGGAAATCGCAGGAATCGACAAAGCAAGAATACGAAAGCGAGAATCGAAAACACGACACATGATTTACGTGGTTCACTAACACGATGTGTGTTAGCTACGTCCACGGGCGAGAGAGAGCCAGTTTCACTATATCAAGGAGATTACAGATTACAGAGGAGTATGAGAAGTATTTATAGTACCCCCGATTACCAGTCGTAGGGGCTGATAGTCCGATTCAAGTCACATCAACAAATCTCCACCTTGACTTGAATCCTCTTCCTCTGAAATCTCTGATGTACTCTGCTCCTTCTATCTCTCTCCCGCCATCAATGCCCCACAGGGCGGAGTCACCCACTCAAGACATTCAGCAAGTCCAAGCAGTGTTGGAACTTGCCATGTGGAACCGGCTTCGTGAACATATCAGAAGGATTATCCGCGGTGCCAACCTTCATCGACTTAATCCTCTTCTCTCTCCTCAAGAAATGATACCTCACGTCGATGTTCTTAGTCCTCTCATGGTGGACTTGATCCTAGGCCAAGCATATTGCACTCAAACTGTCGCAATACACCACTACCTGATCATGATGTAGACCAAGATCACCAACCAGTCCCTTCAACCATATTCCCTCCTTAGCAGCTTCTGTCAACGCCATATACTCTGCCTCAATAGTAGACAATGTCACCGCCGACTGCAAAGTTGCCTTCCAGCTCACTACAGAACTCCCAAGAGTGATTACATAACCGGTCATCGATCTTCTCGTGTCAACATCTCCAGCATAGTCCGAGTCAGAATACCCAGACACCAAGCACTCTGTATCACTTCCGAAGCTAATTCCCACATCAGGTGTACCCTTAAGGTACCGGAAGATCCTCTTCACAGCCTGCCAATGCTCCTTCCCAGGTTGTATCATAAACCTGCTGGTAACACTAACAGCATGTACAAGATCAGGTCTAGTGCATACCATAGCGTACATCAAGCTACCTACTGCACTAGCATATGGGACTCTCGACATGTACTCTTTCTCAGCCTCTGACTGCGGTGCATAAGCTAAGGATAGATGAACATTTGAAGCACTAGGAGTATTTAAGGGCTTTGCTAAAGACATGCCAAACCTCGACAATATCTTCTGGATGTAGCTC